GTTAGATGACGCCTTGGGATGAGAACGGGCTGTATAAACTGTAAACTTGTCCCTCAAATCTGATTGGTTGATTGGAATGTTGTTCCAGGATCAACAAAGCTTTTTGTCTCACACTTGGTGAAATCACGTTCACCCTGGTGGGACTGTGACTTCCACCCACCTACAGTTATAGTAGCCCACCCAGACAGCAACATAGTGTCGGACCAAATCTGGCACACATCTGGTACACGTGGATTCCACACGGCCCAGATGTGTGCCGGATCTGGGCCGACTCTGGGCCGACTCTATGTTGCTGTCTGGAATGTCTGGATTTTTTCAGTTTGCATCGACAGAGAGACTGGCTCTGGTCGAACACAATATGTCATTTGATACAGCATCCACAACGGTATCTCACGACCAATTCGTACGAGTGAGTAAAAGGTGGCTAATCGTACGAATTCGTACGACCTCACTCGTACGAATTCATACGATTCCTCTAAACTCCAGTGATGGGTAGGTTTAGGGGCGGGGTCAGGGGTAGGTCATTCGCACTAATTCATACGAATTGGCCAACTTGTAAAATATGTACGATTTTGCAAAAATCTTACAAATTCATACGAGTGAGTTCGTATGAATTCATACGAATTTGCCACCTCGTAAAATACTTACGAATTGCCGTGAGATCGGGTTGGCATCCTCATCCTGCGGATTTGTTCCCACTGCATTTAAAAGAGTACGAGTAAAAATGCAGCTCGCTCGCTCTTGCTTTTCTACACTCGGAAAGCATTGCCGAAACATCCATGGCTTTCTACAGCATGTTAAACAAATTGAGACTGTGTGCGGCGCTTCACGACTCTATTCAACCCGGAGATGCAGAGCGGCCGAGGAAGCAAACATCTGTGTTCCTCCACACACTTCATCAGAGGCACAAACGCTGCTCGCCCAGAGGAACGTGCTTACAAAGTGATGGGGCTCAGGGTTTTTCACTGGGGGCGAGGTACTGATTCGAAACCCCCTCCGCTGCCAAGCGTATGGATAGCTACTGATTAGAGGTCTGGCGAGCTCGCCGGTGCCAGTTGGGTGAGATGCCGGCTGTCGCCACCCCTCCTCACCCCCGTAGGGCCCACTGGAGAAGACCAAAGACATTCTCCCCTGACAGAATAGCACATAGCCTCAAACCACCAGGGTCAGAGCATTGAGAGAGCAGTATCTGCACGCTGCACCGGCACCTTGAAAAAGACGTGAATTATCGCAGAGACAAATTGCTTTTTGTGTTATGCTTATCTGAGCTCTCGTTTGCTCCGGCTCGGATGAAATTTGCTGCTTTTTGTGATATTCTGTATCGGACTTTTCTCTCTTGTGAAAGATCTCACTCGCTGTAGAAACATGATGAACAGCAAATCTAGCTTTCGCTAAGGTGCCTACGGACACCCAAACGTTCATCTATTTCGTACATTTCGGGATTTGTGGGCATTCGGAGGGAAGTTCAAAGCCGGCGTTTGCCACGTTCAAAGAAAACGTTAGTTGATACGGGCCGTTTTAGCTATATACTTCACGTTATATTTCCATGGAGCTCAGCGTACGCGTACATTTCTTATAATAAGAATACAGATTCACCGTTGAATCAAAAGTGTGTAAAGATTCCTTTTGCTAAGTCGCTCCGCCCACGATTACCTCACTGTGATTCTGAGGAGCAAAGAGAGCATCTGACCAGTATTCACCTCAGTGTTTTGTTTCAAATTTTAGATTGATCTGAACACAAAGGTGACACAAGGGTGGTGATATTTCTAAAATATTAAATAGCAACCTACTATTCAGGGACTGTCCTTTTTTTCCTCTCTCCTCAGACCGCTTTTGCAGTACCAACAGACACACATGCATTAGGGAAGATAAACATACACTCTCCAAGATTTATGCACACAAATACATGCATATGTGTGGGCCAAAGAGAATTGTACTTCGCAGAAATAGCACTTCAAACCCTGTCAGCTGCCCCGCATTCACATTTCAGAGTTAAGAATATAAAATCAATAATCATTTAGTCATAAGGGTAAATGAAGTCATATAAGATCAAAGTATACCCTTTGGCCACTGAAGTTGCACTGAGTAATTTATCTCATCAAAAGGCAGAACTGCTAATCCCTGTGCCTTTCACTGGAGCTGCCACAGCCGAGCTGTATTATCCTTGAGTAAACAAGTTTGAGGAAAAATATGAAAAATCAATAGTTGTTTCCTTCTATCCAAATCGATGGCATGCATCATAAATCTGACTCTGTAAGGAGCCTGTGTGTGTGTGTGTGTGTGTGTGTGTGTGTGTGTGTGTGTGTGTGTGTGTGTGTGTGTGTGTGTGTGTGTGTGTGTGTGTGTGTGTGTGTGTGTTCCAAGTGTAATCAGCTTTATTGAGCATAAGGACCCGTATAATTACAGATTTTGTCAGTAAAACTTGATCAATGGCCTAAAAGGCTAGTGAGTAAATGTTCTATTGGGAAATCCAGCTGATTGTATTCACTGTTCAATGACAAACTCACTCACTCACTACAGGTGCATGTGCAATGCTGCACGCAATAATAATAAAAATAATTATTATATTATATTATATGATATGATATTCAGTATATATTATATTATTATATCAGCTGTTTTAAAATAAATGAATGAATTATTAAAGGCCTATAGGTTAATTGTATTTTTAAATATTCATATATATATTTTGGTCATGTGTAATTGCATTTCAATTGTATGCATTCAAATGCATGATATGGTCATATAAATAAGGAAATTATACACACATAAATGGCCTGTTCAACAAAAGAATGAAAAGGAACCTACTGTTTAGCATGAGCAAATTACAATATTATATTGTCTGCAACATTCCTAACGTCGTAAACGAGTAAATGTGGAAAATGGGCATATTTAAACTGTTTTACATTATGTATACACTGTATATATATATATATATATATATATATATATATATATATATATATATATATATATAAACACACACATACACTGTATGCATATATAAAATGTTTTCAGGTGCGAGTCAGCAGCAACACCATGCAAGCCTATTGCCTATTGTCAGTTAATTCCATAATTTCATGTTTAAAGGCTTCTGCCGGTGAATTGGATAAGGGCATTTCACTGATACTTAGCTGCAGTCTTGGGATGAATCTCCTATAATTCCATCATGTTTGCTGGGACTAAAATATCACGAGGGTTTCTAAGTATGGAAGTTAACCTAGTTAACCTACTGCCCCCTGCTGTGCGGCGCGCGCTCTCACTCTCAGTGCCGCGCGCTTCATCTGTCCTCTGTGAGCCATCATCGACACATTAATCCCAGTCTTTACAAATCACTTTACCATATAAAATATGAAAGATGGTACAAACAGTGCGGAATATTGGTTACAAATTAGACCTGCTATAAATATCAGAAATAATAATACATAAGGGCTTAATAAAGACATTTTATTTTCTAATTAATTGTAGCCTACATGCAATAAATAATGAAAATGCTTTGTTTTAATTCGAACATTTTTCTCACCACTATCACGATTATTTGACATTAATCTCCCCTTGCATTTCAGTTTAATTGATATTTCTATTAATTTCCACTAATCTTTGAATAGGTTCAATCTTATTGCTAATATGCGAAATATTATTCATTTATTTATTTATGTTATTTGACAGATGACTTTACGGATTTTAATTGCATGGATTTTTTACTCAATACATGAACTGATATGTAGGCTATATTTAATTCCAATAATTTAAATTTAAGAAAACGGTAAACGCCTTGAAAGAAAAATACAATAACGGATCCAGGATTTGCCGATACATTTCTTCACCACCGGTTTTATAACGACTCGATTAATTTAAAATTAATATAATAATAATACTATCAATAAATGTCAAAGTCAAATAAACATATTACACATCCCTTTCCGCTATTAGTCGTTATCACACCTCATTGTTTATTTCATTGAATAATTTCCCCGTGTGTGTTTTCGTGTCATGAACAGTGACGTGTTGAAGAAAAACTATTCCTGCTGAATTAATTCTAAAACATGTTACAGGTATGTGGAAGACAAACTCGTGCTGTCAGGACGGAAGACCTCCTGCGATTAGAGAGGAGAAATATGACGGGCTGAGTGGAAGAAGACTCACACCTCCCACCGGCCTGAACGCGCACTGCTCCTGCAACAGTCCACACAAGAGCAGGACCATCTCTAACACACTCACTAACATGCAACATTTCAATTAGTCTTTGATTAAAAAGTGCATTTTACATTACAGAGCTCCGAGTTACAATAATTACAAATGAAATAACAGATTCTGACGGTAAAGGTGAAGGTGTAGCGAAGGTTCAATTGTATTTACTGTTCATGAATTATTATGACTGCACAATTCACTCAGTGCATATTGGGAAATATTGCTGATCCTATATGTAATATAATAATAATAATAATCAATTATAATCATGATATGTGTGTTGTTTTAATACGTGTTTTAAACGTAAAACGCAAAAGGGGGAAAAATAGCCTAATTTAATTGTACGTTAATTTATTTGGATATTTATTAGCCTATTGCATGCATTTCATTATGTGTTGTAGCCTACATTCAAAAGGAAAAGCTATTTTGTATAGGCTTTACAAGTAATTACAAATGCAATATCAATGTGCAATTAGAAGTAGAACTGTATATGTAGTAGTTTATTACTACTCTTATGTGTATATGCAAATGCACTGACTGTAATGTACGACCAAAACCTCTTCAGCCATTTTAAAAAAAAGAAACAAATGATGTGGCATCGTGTCATCCGTCAGCGACTGAAAATAAATCAAAAAGAAAGAAAAATGCAATAGATAAACGACGGGAACGCGACGCCGAGAACGCACGGGCTGCTTTCTGTGCGGGTTTTGTTCCGGAATTGCATTTCACAGCGCGAGAGAGGGGGCGGAGATGGAATATTTAGATGAGCTGTGATTGACAGTTCCTGTTTCTCCAATGCTCTCAGAAACTCGCCTGCTCCTTCCAGCAACTCTTCACTCTCCACTCCCGAGCACTACAAACAAACGGACGCTAGGGGATCTCCATGACGGCTCTCTGCTGATCGCTCCTCTTTTGCGCTTTTATTTATTTTCTTTTATTAGTTTATCCCTGCGCGCGGCGGTTAAATGCGCTGATTCTATCGATCGGCCCGTTTTCTGCCCTCCTGCTTTCCTCTACTGGAGAGAAACTCGAATAATGTCCTATCCTCAGGGTTACCTCTACCAGCCCCCGGGCTCTCTGGCGCTGTACTCCTGTCCGCTGGCCGCCCCGAGGAGTGAGGAGCTGGCCCGGTCCTCGTCCGGTTCAGCGTTCAGCCCGTACCCCGGATCAGCTGCGTTCACAGCCTCGGCCAGCGGATTCTCCAGCCCTCTGTCCTACTCTACAGATCCAGCCACGGGATTCCCGTCCTACATGGTAAACAGCCCGGTTGTGGATGTAGAGCCGTCGCCATTCACAAGTCATTGTTCTTGATAGGAATGCATGAATATTGCATGATTGCATGGTTATAGTTTTGGTTGTGGGTTCGGGAGTTGCATGCATGCGCGCGCGCGCGCGCGCGTGTGTGTGTGTTTCAAAGGGAAGCTCGTGCAGGTCATGAATACAAATACGCTCGGTGTTACTCGGGTGCAGAATACAGCTGGCCACAATTTAAAAGTTGTTTTAAATCGCAATAAAGTCAAGAATAAAATGTACATGCGTCAACACGTGCTTATTTATAAGAAACAATAACAGCGCGTCTAATTATTTCTTTCTTAGGCCCACTTTTACACTCTTAATAGGCCTGATCTACACCGCATTATTTTTAGACAATAGGTGAAATTATTGATTGCGATCTTTTAAAATTAACTGTAAGAATAAAAAAAAAGTGCACAATTGTAGAGGATAAATTTACTGAGTTGAGGTTTGGAATGATGCGCAGTTAAATAGGCGTTATTTAATCGTCAATTGATGAATTGCAATGCTAATGACATGGCACATGAAAGCGGGTAAAAACGGTCCATATCCAGTGGTTTTCTAATAGGATTTGTAATGCTGCGCTTCACTGATATGCGTCTGACACTGAAAGAGCACTGGGAAAGTCAGCCTGGTGATTATGCAAAATGGCTGCAATTACCCATTATCTGTTATCCACCCCAGTCCCATGTAATTGTGCATTCTGATAATTGCATGAAGGATTAATCATTGTTTATTGGCTTAATTATTATTACTATTATATTTTTTGGTTACACTTTATAATAACATTCATTAATAACATTAACATTGCATAATGCAGAACAGATCATTAGTTAATGTGCATTGAAATAATGATTCATCGAGAAAATAATTATTTTAAAATACAGTGTTTGTTTATGAATTAGCCTATGACGGTTTACAAAAAAATGTTTTACAAATAATAATAATAATAATAATAACAGATGACTGACAGAAAATATATATATATTTTTGAAGGGGTCTCCGTATGACGCGCACACTACGGGGATGGCAGGAGCCATAAGTTATCACCCGTACGGGAGTCCCGGTTACCCGTACCAGCTGAATGATCCCGCTTACCGGAAAAATGCCACGCGGGACGCGACAGCGACGTTAAAAGCGTGGCTGCAGGAGCACAGGAAAAACCCTTATCCCACAAAAGGAGAAAAGATCATGCTGGCCATCATCACGAAAATGACCCTCACGCAAGTGTCCACCTGGTTCGCTAATGCCAGACGGAGACTCAAGAAGGAGAACAAGATGACATGGGCACCGCGGAATAAAAGTGAAGATGAGGATGAAGACGACGGCGATGGAGAGAGAAAAGATGAGCGACCGGATAAAACCATGGACAACAGCGAAGCGTCTGCGGAGGACGAAGGTAAATTATTACTATTGTTGTTATTTTTATTATTATAGCGGATTTAATTTAAATGCATTACGGTTGGTTTGCATTCAAATAGACAGTGGTATACAATGCATGTATTGCAGCCTAATGTTAAATGACATCTATATATTATAAAACTACATGCTATATAATAATTGTACAATTAAGACCTTGACGTCGTAACGCAATTTTTAAGAGTTCTGTAAGCTATATTCGAGACGCCAGTTTTGACAGCAGTAACTCATTTCGGTGTTGTTTTTGTCTACAGGGATCAGTTTGCACGTCGATGCCCTGACAGATCACTCCTGCTCAGTGGAATCGGACGGAGAGAAGGTCACGTGTAGGACCGGGGACCTGGTTTGTGATTCTGGACCTGATACCAAGGACAAATGCGACGCGAGCGATCTCGACACGGGCCGCGAGGAGAGGCATAGAGGCCCGTCACCCAAGCCGGTGACCTCTCCCCCTCTGACTGGGGTGGAGGCCCCTCTCTTGACCCATCATCACAGAGAGGACACCCGAAACAGCACCAACAAAACATGCCTTGACGGTCAAAACCAAACCGTCAAACCTAAACTATGGTCATTAGCTGAGATCGCCACTTCGGACCCAAAGCAGCATCAGCATCAGCACTTGGGACAGAACTGTCCCCCGGGCGTTGGCCTTTTGACCTCCACGGCGCCCAGCGCGTCCCCGGCGGGCGCAGTCTACCCCGCCACTTCCATATTAGGAAGACCTCTTTATTACACCTCTCCGTTTTATAGTAATTACACAAACTATGGCAACTTCAGCCCGCTGCAGGGCCAAGGGATACTGCGCTATAATTCAGCTGGGGAGGGACTTCTGCACAAACAGAGTTGCGACCCCCTACTAAAGACTAATCCAAACCAGACTGAACAACATTTCAGGGCCTCCAATGCAGAATCCAAAAAAGGTGCGTAAAGGGTGCATGTATACTGTTGATCTTCGCCTGCTAGAATTTGACGTGTTATTTAACGAAATGCCTATCTAATTAAGTAACTCTGTCAAATGCAACTAGTAATGTAACCGCGCACTTGATTTCATTGGTAGCCTCTTGTTATTATAGAATCATGTTGATCACGTCGCGAGTTTTTGCAGTTGCTTTTATTTCATTGTTTGAACGTGACATTTATTTCTCTCAACTGTTACTTATTCTCATAATCGAACGGTATCGACAAGGCCAATATATAGGAAATATTTAAGCTTTCAAAACGGTGTAGTCTCCCTTTACTAAAATGGGTTTGCATTTTCTACAGACCCCACCGAGGTTTTCACAGTAAGACACCAGTCTTACCTGTCGAGTTAAAGACGAGGAAGATCGTTCAAGTAAGTCGCTAATTTTAAGTGCAGGTTAAAACATTTTTTTTTTTTTTATCACAATATTGGAATGTTTCCAAAGGCCACTTCCTCATTAGTTGTATTGTTGTTGTGACACTGTTTTGATTATGAATACGAGGCCTTCCGATCTACTAATACTGCATAGAATGCAAGGTCTTCTTTAGAACATGTATGGATTTCTACATTTTACGCAATAGTTTTATTTGATTCTTTTTTTTATTTCTATCGAAATTCAACTGATGTAGGTTTTGTTTCCTTGGTTCACAGGTAGGTGTCACAATTGCTTTGAACAAAGCGAACAAGCCATCACCTCTCTCTCTCTATCTCTCTCTCTCCCCAAGCTGTTTTAAACTAACATTCGCTCCTTACGCGGATCCTTTTGTGTGCCACTGTACACCCACGGACTACAGAGCACCTGCCTATATTACAATAACACGTTCGATTACGGGAAAGAAAAGAAAAAAAAAGAAAAGAAAAGAGCATTTTTTAAGGCACAATAGCCAGTCTGGTTTGGATGAATCTTTCATTTATCGATGAAGTACTTTTTTCCCCCAACATATGTGACTTTTCGATGAGGAAACTTATTTCTCAGGATCCTTATAGTAGCTTCATTGCCACCGGTTACATGTACACGCGGGACATTATAGACTTCCTATAAGACTTTATGTGCTAGAGGTGTGAAGTGTAAACGAGAACTCGGGACTGGTATAAACTTGACTAAGAGTGGAATACATTTGATATTTATTTTTGTAATGCCTATAATTTATGCAAGTTGTATTGCAATGGTAAATGAACATTGTTTTGTAAATAAATTATGATTGGTTTTTATTTAAAAAAGCCGAAGTTACACAATGTTGTTAACAAGGAGACTTTTACTAATTTATATATCTGATTGTAAATAAAATGCGCTAGTCTGCACTGGCACTATTTAGTGTGGACTGTTTTTGAAAACTTGAAAACATTGTAATTGTAGTCTCATTTTTTTCCATATCCTTAAATACATTACCATCATGAATTATAGTATCGTGTGTCGTAGGCCTACTGCATGTAACAGACATATTTAGACTTGACATACAGATCATACAATTACGTCAAATGATATAGCATGCATCATTTAGAATTTACACTAAAGTTTCAATTTTTTTTAATTGCTACAAACGATTATTTCAAATATCTAGTGTCTCTGGATATGAAGCGTGAATGTTGAATGTGATCTTGATGGCAGTGAATAATAGAGGCTGCTTATAATCCAGGCCTTCATCTATTTTTCAGCATGATGAATACAGGGCTGGAAAGGAAGCGTTATGAGCTCCCGGCGGGGTTTTAAGATGGTCAGTCGGGCTTCATTATAGACCGATATTGAACGATCCATAAAATCGTGTCTAAACATCTGCCAGCTCCAATGGGGCCCGCGCGCCTGTGTGATGGCAATGACGTCTCTCTTATTGTAAAGGCGTTAGTTAAACAGATTACTGCGGCTCACTGTGTGTTAACCTCAACAACCTTTCGATACAGCAATTAGCCTATATTTGTGCACAAATATATAATAATAATACAATATATTTGAGTATAAATATAATATAATAATATAATATAATAAAGGGCTAATACATCATATAATATAAGTTTATATGTATATATAGTTAGAGAGCTAATCGTGGGTTATGTAAATATAGATTTTAAAGGATTAATAATTAAATGACTCATATCAGTGATTCTTATTTGATTAATATTCCACGCGCGTTTAAAGCCTTAAACATTCTGAATTCAGGTCAGCTTATATATATATAGCCTACATATAATAGCGCCTTATTTTGTCATTTGAAGTGTGTTGCGCTTGTGCATATCGACATTATTAGAGGTAAACTATTGAAATTCAGCCTTTAATCTCAGGTGGGATCCCGGGAGGATCGACCACTGTTGTCAAAATAGCACCACAGGCGGTTTCCATTCATACTCCCTTCAAATGTCAACATTTGTTCTCAATAAAAAGAGTTATTGTTTCTGTAAAACAGCCTTTGAAAACATCAAAGAAGTTCAGCCACCTCTGTTTGATTGGGATCAGGTAAAGGAGAGCAATAAGCCCGTTATTAATTGGACATATTTGCGGCACCAAATTTGAATTTTAAATAAGATATTTGACAACTTCAGTAAAGATTTATTTTTATATGTGATAGTGATACAAATTTGATCATATATAAAATATAGGAATAGGCCACGTATAATATTGCGTTTACACATTGAAATAGCCTAATACGATGAGTGTATCGATCTTTTTAATGTAGTTATTGGTATTTGTTAATAACGATATATTTAAAACGAAAACGCTCAAAGCCTGATTCATATGATAATAATAATATTATTATAGTTATTGTATGAAAAATATCTGAGCACCTCTTTCTCTCCGTGTGTGTGTGTGTGACACATGCTGCTGACCCCACATAGTTCAGTGAATCCAACTGGAGAGGGCAAGCGCATTAAGACACTTTCTGAAAGCAGCCTCTAATGGTCTCTCATTCTGCACCGTTTATCTTTACAACTTTAATCTACCATTAGAGTCAGGTCGTAAATAACATTTCAGGTCAGGAAAGGAGAGAAAAAGTATTAACAAATCGAGTACATGTGGGTTTAATAAGATACATCAAAGTCTCCGAAGCTCTAAAGTGAGTATTGGGTCGGTTCTTCCATAAAGGTGTCATAGAAGATGTCCTCCCATTAGACTGATCAAGGCACGAGAGAGAGAGTTTGTCCACACTAGACTCTAAATAAGATCATTAGAGCCGTCAGCTTACCATTCGGCCTTTAACTGACTGTGCTGTTCCTGCCAAGAGAAGCCAGATACAGTAGATATCATCTAAATCCATCGCCTTTTGTTTTTTAAAGAAGTTGTTTTAGTTTATTGCGCGATATTTATCTTCCAAAATGTTTCACGTTAAGTTGTTTACGCATAGTCGCATAACGGTTTTTGATTTTGTCAACTTGTCAGCTTAAAGAATAAAACGTGCTTTTAGAAAGTGCTTAATGCCCTTATTGCTAAGATTTTTTTTTTTGCATGGGTTGATATGTATTATATGTGTGTGTTACTTTGTAGAAAAAGCATTTCCATGAATGATCAAGGAGGGTTGACTTAACCTAAATAGTGGCAAAATGACAAAGAAAGCAGAGAGCGAAGAAAGAAAAATATTGGTGGAGAGTTAATGAAGGGTGTGGATGGCTCAGTAACGTGCTGTAAGATGAGGGCAGGCCTGGGGAATGCTATTTTTTAATATGTCGCTGTTTGCACTAATAAGAGAGGTAACTGAATATCTTTAAATATTCTCTCTCACACGCTCAATAGTTTTTTAATTAAAAGCTATAATAATAAAAGGTTCAAATAGGGGGAATATGATTACAAGCACTTAAAGCAAAGACAATTATTTCACGCAAAATTACTGTTACTCCTTATAAGTTTCATAATAAAACGTGTCATCTATTAAAAACGTTATCCTACGTGTAAACGCATTTATATGCTATACCATCGTTTTTTATTGTGTAGTAAAGCCTATAAAAAGTGATGCATACTCCGTAACATTATTAGTGTCTTGCATACTTTCTGATGAGTTTGTATATAGCTTCATCAGCTTGGACTGCTGCGAGCATTTTACCGACACAATCGATGTTTTTTTCCACACACAGGTACTATCATAATCACTGCCGTCGTCAGATAGGATGAATCCAATCCAATGATCTGATGGGATCTCCCACGTCACGTTTCTCACTGTCAAAGTCCCCCTGTGGTGAAAATCAAGTTTTTAATGTTGTTTATCTGTATATGTGGTGTTTTTAATATGCTTTAAGACCATGTGCAAATTCATAAGCCAACCCCATCGCTGAGTATTTTCTCCTTAAAACTGCAGTGAACCGAAGACAGTCTCTAAAATGCGGTCACGTCAACGTGTGATCGTCAACTAGTGGTTCTCTGAACTGGCGCGAGTGAGTGGAGGCGGGGTTAATTAGCATATTCATAGAACCACGTATACTAAATGAGGCAATGGTGTAAAGTTACATTCAAGCTATTCTAAAGCATGACTACATTTTTTTCAAGGGAAAATTGTAGTGATCAAAGATGAGTTTTAATGGATACAATTATTGACTCAAGGGGGACTTTAACACCGGGATTCAGGAAAGATGACCGTGTTAATGAGTAGCATAGGCTACTCTCACGAACGAAGGCAAACACATTAGCGCCAAATGGACTGGGGCTAAAGTTTAAAATAAGCCTACAGTTCCCGCCAGTTTTCTTTTTCCATCTGTGCCTCTCTTTCCGTCGCACATTACATTTCGGTCATGCCTCGCAGACAAACACAATATCCCACAAGAGCCGCGTGTGCGCGTGGGAATGTTGCAGACAGCGGCCATTAAGGGCACTAAATGAAGTTGCACCAATATCAGTGCTAATTAAAATTCTGTTTAACGGCTCCCGGCCGGAATGCAAATGGGCTAGTTGGCCTTAACTCGCGGTTCGTCGACTAAAGAGTAGGACGGGGGCAGCCCGAGCACTTTTTCTCGTTTTAGAGGGCCGTGTTCAGCTGATAGCATCTGCTCTAGCCAAGCTCGGGGTCAGGCCAGAGCTTGCCACTAAGTCATTAGCTCAAATTACTCTGCTAGTTTCTCTCAAGTTGTGCAGGGCTCAGGCACTAGATCTCCCCCGGCTGCTGCCCGGCTGCTTGTGGCTCCCTTGGAAGCCAATACTCTCCTAGGGGATCAGGGCGGCATTAACCCTCTATCCCCTCCCTCGGAGACTTCACCGATGCCCGCTCTTCCACTGGACAAATATAGCAGCCCCGAATTAATGCGACTGGAAGATCAGGATCTATCGGGTAGCATCTCGCCGGCCAAATCCCTGCAGGATTCTTGACCCTTTGAAGTTCTCTGTGAGTTTGCTTACACAGAAGCTTACACCGTTAAGTCGGGTTTCAACAAGACTCGAGGAGGCAGCCCCCAGTTTTTAAAGTGGAAACTACAAGACCCAGAATCCCTCGTTCCACCTGCCGGACCTTTAGGATATCCAAGGCTTGAGGGGAACTAGATGGGATGGTCCTATCTCACATATCTTTCCGTGAGATTTGAATGTGGCCCACATTCCTTCGGTTGAAGGAAAGTTGTAGATCTCACTTTTCCCACACTCTCTAATCATCTTTCTTCACCCTCCACCCTTTTCTGTGTAATTACTCACTGAAGGTTATTGCTTCGGGATGCTAACTAATTGTATCGCATGTGTGTGTGTGTTAAAATGAAGCAATAAGCCAAAACCAGTTTAGCTTCAGGACTTGAAGTGACCCAACATAACCAAGATTTTTTTCAGCATAACAAAATGTTCTTTTAAATGAATTACAAATGTAATTTACTGCTAGCAAGATGGGCTTTTAACAAAATATGTCTGGCAATGTTGTAAAATTGCGAAAAAGAATAACACCTATAATGCACTTTTAATTTTGGCTGCGTCCTTCAATCGGGGGCGGGAGTAAAAAAAAAAATGCAGAAGTTCGATCTATAGATTTAACAACAGCCCTGGAGCTGTCAAACAACTATTGGATGATGCGAAATGACGTGTTTCGCATAAAAATAAACAGGCAGATCTGCTGCAGGTAACAAGGAGGAAGAGTACACATTGTTCATTTACATATACCACTGACATTATAACAATTCAAAACTGACTGAAAATCAGTGGACTTATTCTTTAATTCATACTGCATTAGCTCAACAACACTCAAAATTATTAACATAAATATAGGAAAATCGACATTGAATTGTTAGAAAAGCTTAAACAGCAGCAGACAGAAACAAACATTGGGCTAAATATTGTATAAAGCTTGCCTAAGGTTGTGCGTTTCATGCTCTCGAAAGCAATAATTCACAACACACTGTGGTCGACACAATTTCTG